TATCATGTTTTTCTAGCTATAGTTTGGTCTTTCGGTTTTTAGAATTTGTCTATTGGTCTTGATTTTTCCACATCATTTCTTGTATTCTACCCCCGTATTCCACCATATTTAATGTAATATTTCAGATAACTAAAAAGAAAAGATTAACTTGAATTTTTTAGTGCTCTCTTCTCTTTCATATTTCGCAATCAATCAATTAGTTGTTTTCTAATTAACGTGAAGTTGATTAAAAAAACCAAAACAGAAGTCTTTACTTTGACTATTCCACGTTAATCTCAGTGGTCACAAATAGATATATGATTCATTTTATAAATGGGAGTTTCATGATGTGAAACCCAAATCAAAGAAGTCGAACCATGTCATCTCGCGCCTCTTTCATCTTCCTTTGCCTCTTCTCCTTCCTCATTAGCTTCACAGCTTATGGTCAAGATCCAGTATTGAGCCATGTTTGTTCAGATAGGACAACTTATACAAGGAACAGCACTTACTCTAATAATCTCCAAACCATTTTGTCGTCTCTCTCTTCCAGCAACGCCTCATACTCCACCGGATTCCAAAACGCCACGGCAGGACAAAACACTGACATGGTCACTGGACTTTTCCTCTGCCGGGGAGACCTCTCGCCGGAAGATTGTCGTACCTGCGTCGCCTTTTCCGTCGATGAAATTTTGATTCGGTGTCCCAGTGAGACTCAAGCCGTGCTCTATTCGGATGAGTGTATGCTCAGATACTCTAACAAGAATATTCTCTCGACCCTCACAACTGATAGAGGAGTGATGATACCGAGCACCCGGAATGTTCCACCTAACCAGTTAGACCGGTTTATAGATTTGGTTTTGTCCACCATGAACCAAGCGGCCAATGAAGCCGCGAGCAATTACAGAAAATTCGATGCGAGAAAAGTCAGTTGGACCGCACAGCAGACCTTGTATGGACTGGTTCAGTGCACTCCTGATTTGACGAGACAAGACTGTTTGCGGTGTCTACAACTTAGCATTAATCAGTTACCTACTGATAAAATTGGAGGAAGAGTTCTTTATCCGAGCTGTAGTTCACGATACGAGCTTTACGCGTTCTACAACGAAACCGCCATTGGACGACCATCACGATAAGTATATTTCGTCATAATTGTAAAGCGCAGCGAATAATGAGACACACTTAAACATCTTACGCCCTCACCAGAGCAGGAAGACCAAATCCAAAAATATTTTCATTAGTGTTTTTCTTTTCCATTTTCCATCAACGCTAATAATAAGTCTTGTTAAACATTGAAAACCACTATCCCAATTCCTGTTTTGTAGGAATACATGATTCCATATTAGCTTCCCTGTTTCATCTCCTATCTAAGGATCGAAAAGAAAAGCAATCTTTGTTGTGGTTTACTGGTTTACACATCTATTCTTTGTTCTGGTTGGGACCAGCATCAGCTAATGAGTCTTTATAGTTTTGCTCTGATTTATCCAATCTTTATAGTTTTGCTCTGATTTATCCAATCAATTTACGAACTTTCCATTTTTGATACCAATTTCCTTTCGCTTTCGTTATGTTACCCGTTTGAGCGATTTTGCCTTTTCTCATCCCTGATTTTTCCAAACAATTGACGAATGCTGCTTGGCTCCATATAACTGCAACCCAATAGAGATTGATTGACTTATGTAATGATCCGTTGTAA